GCAGTGCGTCATGCTCACGCCGTTCGACTCGTGATATGCACACACATCGCATATCTCGCGCTCGTTGCATGTGTACGCTGATGACATTACGATATCTATTATATGTTCATTGCGCAGCATAGTTTCATCGGCTAGCAGAGTCCTACTCATACTGGCTCGCCTGCTCGCGCAGGTCGGTTTACCACCAGCAAGGAACAAGATGAGCATTGCGTCCAGCATACCTGAAGTGGCTCGACGGGTGGCGGCACGGCTGCACAAATTTGGTTATGCCTATTGGAGTGCCTTGGAGGTTCTTGGGATCGAGGTGGCCTCAGGGAGGCCCCTTAAGTACCGTCGGCTTCGTGAACGGGTCTCGGTTGCCTCGAAACGAGTTCCTCGGCTTTCGAAAGTTCGGAAAGCGGGGCCCATCGTCTGCAAGTTTGTCCGACAGGCACTACCCAGTGCAATGGGATATGGATTAGGAGTACATGGGGCGCCACCACAGTTGGTAGCCAAGATGCGCTCTGTGTTTCGCTCGTGCTGGTATACACCTGGGTCGACCACCTCGGCCTGGCTGACGAGTTGCCTTCAAGGCACAGTGCTGTCCGACCCACAGGTCCAGGCCTGGACAGCCCCTCTTGTACAGTGGGCTATGCTTTGTCGGGACGTTGTGGTGACTCGTGAGGAGCTCCAGAGGGCCTGGAAGGCGCAGATCCAGAAGGTCTACTGGGCCACTCATCCCTGGAAACATGTTTCGGGTCCTGCTGGGGCTATGCTTTTATCCTGAAAGGCCTTGAAATGGACCTCAAGCTCGGCATTTGTCTGGAAGACCGACATCGGGGACATCTTGGACCTCAGGACTTCTGCGCCGTCCACGGCTCGGGAATTAGGTCAGGCTGCTGCACTCAGGAGGCTTTGGGAGTCCTGGGCAGCTCGAGGGAACCCTGCTGATGACGTTGGCATGGCCACCAAGCAGCCACTCGGGTACTGGATTGAACCCGTCGTTGACCTGTTGAAGAGATACAAAGGGGACGAGTTTGACGAATCCTCAGAGGGCGAAGATGCTGATTCTGACGGCGACGAGCAACAGGATATTAGCAGGACTCCCTGGGCCCCTTCGTTTAACGAGGCGGCGATGCTACGCGCCTTCGTAGGTGGCGGCATGTGGTCCCCGTCACGGCTTCAAGCTTGTGGATATGTTGATCGCGCTGACTGTATGGCGTGTTCGTCCACGGCTTGCACTACCCATCATATATTGTGGGAATGTATTGGCAGTAGCGGTGAAAGGATACGTCACCTTTCGGATTTAGACGACCGAGGGCTTCCTCCCAAAGAAGTTGGGTCCTGGTTCTGGGATCGAGGATTATGCCCCCGCAGTTGTTTTCCACCAGTGCCGCCGAAGGATAACTCGGGCAGGTGGATTGTCAAATACGGTACAGCAGATATGGCTAGCGGTGTCAAATTTACTGATGGAGCCTGTAACAAGTTCTGGTACTGGCCCGAAGCGTCTCGTGCGGGATGGGGGTTTGCTAAGCTGGTGGATGATAAGATTGATCTACTAGTGTATGGTGCTCTCCCTGGGCCTCTGCAGTCCTCACCGCGGTCTGAGCTATATGCCTTCTTGCAGGTTTTGCAGATAGCCGTCTTGCCTATACTAGTATACTCAGATTAGAAGGGGCTGATCGAAGGCCTCACCTGGGGACCTCATTGGTGTAGACATCCTTCTAGGCCCAATGTGGATCTATGGGGCCAAATCTGGACCAATATCGACGATCTAGGAGGCCTCTCGGATAGTTTAGAAGTACGACGCGTGCGAGGGCACCAGCGAGGCATGGACGTCTTGGCGCGGGGGAACCGATGGGCCGACGTTGGGGCGACCAGGGGGCGGGATTTGCACTCGGTTCCCCGACGGCACGTCAAGGCCATGCGGATTGCTCTGAAGTCTGTTCGGTCGGTTTTGAAATGGCAGGTTGAAGCGTTGTTGGCCTTCGCGGCACATGGGCGCGCCACCGCTGTGCCGCGACGGGGCAAGAAGCCCACTCAGGCCAGGCAGGCCAAGAGTGAAGCTGACCCCACCCCCCTCCCTCCCACCTGGCTCACGCCTTCTCGCAAGTGCCGAAGCGCCTCATTTGGAGGTGCAATTTCTGCATGAAAGGTGCCGCGGCCAAGAGAGCGAGGGATCGTCTATCTCGCATAGCTTGTTTTACCCGTGTCCTGGCGCCGAGGTCTTTCGACATGAGTTCGAGGGGGCCCCCGCGGATGGAGGGATGTGTTGCTGGTGACCAGGCCAATGCAGACTCCCCTCAAGATCCCACGGGCCCAGCCAGTGACCTGCAGGATGCCCCCACTGAGCGAATAGGTGATTTTCTGGCTCGCTCAGGCTCGTCTGATGATATGGACGTGAGGCCGCGTGTGATTTTTGCCCCACTTCAACGTGTCTTGGCTCCAGATGCCGATGAGCTGGCCTTGGCGCAGAGGCAGATCCTGGAGCCAAACTCTAAACGCAGGAAGATGGGCAGGCCCGCGCTGGCCGAGTCTACTGTCCCTGCGTGTCTGCTGCCCGCGTCTGGTATCGTCGGGCACTTATGTGCGCGTGGCCACCGATGTTGGGTCAGCCCAGGGCAGGTTGTTATGTGCATTAAGTGCGGCTTTTACACTACTGGAGTTGCAGGCCACTTGCTCCTGGATTGCGCCGTCCCTCAAGTTTTGTCGGAGAGGGCTGCCCGTAACAGGAAGTTATGTTTGGAAGGCCTTCACCCAGCTGACGAGGGCGCCACCAGCAGCCGTCGAATTCCCGTTGCTCGTCCTTTGCTCGCCAGTGATCCAGAGGTCACATGGCTAAGGCTGGGATGAGCTGCCTATGTTTGAGCCCGTTTCTGGTTTTCTGGTCTCGGGGCTCCTTGGGCTTTCTTTCTGGGCGGCCCCCTGCCGCTTCGGCCCTGGGAAACTCCTGGTTGGCCAATTCGCGTGTGTTGTTGTTTGGCCTGGTGGGGCGGACGGTCGGAGCGGCGGTGCGCGCGGCCGCCCCGCGGCCCCCGCGCGGCGGCTCCTGCTCATCTTCCTCCACAGCAGGCGCGCCCACGCGCGCCGCCCGCCGCTGTGCTTCGCCGCCGCCGCCGCCAGGCCCGTTTTGCTCTGGAGTGCTCAACCGTGATCCCTTGGGTGGGTTGTGCCTCGTCCCTAGAGCGCAGGGGAGGCCTCTTGGGCTCGCCCCATTCTGCTGTGGCCGTCGGCGCCCTGCGCGACGGTGTCCAGTCAGTGCCGTATCCTCCTCCTCCTCCTCCTCCTCCTCCTCCGCCTCCTCCTCCCCCTCCTCCTCCGCCTCCTTCTCCGCCTCCTCCTCCTCCTTTTCCACCCTGTCCTCCCTCTTCTTTATGACTCCTCTTCTCTCTCCTCCCGCCGCCTCCTTCTCGTCCTCCCCAGGGGGAGGAGGGCTCAGGAAGCCCCTGGAGGTCCAAGGAGACCCAAAGACGTCCGAATGCATGTTGTTGTCCTCCATGCACTTTACCCCCCACCCCTGGAGGAGAAGGAGAGGAGGA